TATGGACAGACACAATGTGACTGAACATACGGCCATGGACTTGGCTTGACCTTGGACTTTCTTTAAATTTTTGCTCTAAAACACTGCTATTACTATTATTATTATTATTAACTTAAAGGAATAATTGATAGAACTACATGTATACACAGCTCATGATAAGTTTGCATGCCAGCCTGGTTAGAGTGTTATTTGTTTTTTTCCTTTTTTGTTTTCTCCCTTTATTTTTATTTATTTATTTATTATTTATTTTTTAGTAATTTTTAGCTAATTTTTTTCTTCACAAATTGGCATTTTCCAGTTTTCTCAATCTTAAAGAAATGATTTATAGGAATTCAAGTTAAAAAAAAGCTTGGATGGATATTCTTTTTTAAAGTTGAAGTGTTTTGTGAATTATTTACTCTTCACAAAGTGGAATTTCCCAGGTGTGGCTTTGAATTTTTGTGGGTCTGAAATCCTGTGCTGTTTACATTTTCTGAATCTCAAGAGTCATACATGGTACATAACTGGAAATTGGTAGTGATTATATACTATAAAAAAATTATAAAATTATTTAATGTCACATCAAATTTTAAAAAAGAATTTGTGATCTGACATTAAATCATTGTTCGATCATCATTCATTATTTCTATGTCTGTCCATTTGACAGCTTTGAGGCCTTGTTAAAGAATTGCTGATATAAACATTGCTGTGAATGATCAAAAAGTTGTAAAGACAACTTTACAACTTCTTGGAATGATATACTTAATTGATTAATTTTATGACAGCAAGCTGAAAATTATAATCACTCAAATAATGAAAAGGCAATGTAAGTATTAAGCCTGTAAGATAAGTACATGTCAGTAACACTACTTGCAGTCAAACTTATAAAAGGGCTGTGAAATTTTGAAGCTTGCTTTGGCTCCAGAAAAATGTGGAAATCTTTATGTTAAAAAGGATAAATTATAAGCTTATTAAAATAATAGACATCCAGATTTTTCACTTGCATTGACCGTAGCAATGATTTTCTCATTAAAACATTGCTTTGTGATATTGTATGCATGATTAGAAGATTATTATTATGAGTTGGTTATGTGGTTGGTTGATAGCTAACAGAGTGAATGGTGGGAACTGTTTTTGTAAAAGTGAACTGTTTTTGTAAAAGAATTATAGACAATGCATAGCTGTGCCAGTGATGTGAAATAAATATCACGCTTTTATTACAAATACTTTTTACGTTTTTAATGTAATTTGAATTCGAAATCCTAGGTCTGCATAAGAAAATTTTCTTGGAAAGTAGAGTAATCGCCAGAATATGTGATCCTATAGATGTTTACATTATTACATCATTTAACTTTACCTACTACAAAAATCCCTTTCTATTGAATTATGTATTGTATGGTGATTGAACGGTTCAGTTGTAGCAGGTAATAGTAAATTTGGCACAGATAAAAAATGTTTATAACACTCATAAGTAAAAAATACTTAAATCATTAAGAAAAAACAAATTACCTATCAAAGGCAGAAATAAAACAAAACAAAAATCAACATAAGAAATATATATTGGGGAAGTGTCGGCTTTGCATCCGCAGATTCCCCCCTTCAAATAATCCACCCATGTACTTCCAGTGCATTTAAATGTTTTTCATTTAAACGGCCGCTTGACACAAACTTGTAATTCCTTTGTATAGTATGGAACATACTGATTTATTTTGGCGATTATGTTGGACATCCAGGAGTACATGTAGTAACGGCTCCACGGTATGGAACGGCTATTCCCTGTCGTTTTTATTTCTAGGCTATCTAATGGTGCGTTATTCATCTTTGGTTTAAAAAAACTTTGAGATATTATAAATAAATAAATAAATAAAAAGGTTGGGTAATCTGTATACCGTAACCACTGTTGAAAAACGAAGTGAAGTACTCAGACATATCTCAAAAATCACAAAGCCGAGCTGCATACAAAGTCTGCTGTGAGTATCAAAGCAGATCAATTTTAGTATTTGTTTCCTTATTTTTCTTTCCAAAATATTTACAATAAAATGTGTCACTTTTGGGTCTCAAGAGGGTGGGTTACTTTTGAAAAAAAAATTGTTTTTCAGAAAAGTTTATAAATCAAGAATTGTGCTTTGGGTGTTACATTTTTAACCAAAGCCAAAAGTTGCGATATAGGGAAGTCACTGCGCGGGAGTATCGGTGCGGGGGACTATTGGTAATAAGGAGACGTTAAGATCAGGGGGAGTATTGGTGCGGGGGAGTAACGGTGCAGTGACGTACAGGGATACAGATATTTACTTATTCATCTACTTGTCGATTAAGACACAGAAACCAAAGAGAAAAGACATCATTTCATTAAGAACTAGAAAAGCGCTTAGAGAGCGAAGACGACAGCCGAGGCAGATCAGTTCTCATTGTTTTAGACTGTCTATTAATTACCTAATAAATAGATTAATTATATTATTATCATTATTGATTGATTAGTCACAATGAGAAAATCTAGTCCATTTCTGACTTACTGAAACTGTCATCAGAATCCCTCTATATATCTTTTTGCATAATGTGGCAAACATACTGTACAAACAGTCTTTATTAATCTACTAATCAATTAATCAATGGATCACCACCTGAATTTGACCGTGTCTAACTTGGTCCACTCTAGTCATTATCTGAAAAATTCATAAAAATCCGTCCCAAACTATTTCCGTAATGTTGCTTACAGGCACACGGACAAACAGGCAAACGGAACCAAAAAAAAAAAAAAAAAAATAATAATGATAATAAAACACAACCTCTTTTACTATTGGTAATAATATATTAATATATTAATATATAGTTTAATAATAGGGGGTTATTAAAAACTGATTTCGAAGACAAATGGCATCAGACCCAGGGATGAAAACCCACAGAAAAAACGACTCGATCCCTGCAAGGGGGCCTTAACCTCTTCCACTCCCACATACACCACATATCACACCTTTATCAGCGAATACTTCAGATGTTCCACACGAGGCAAACGGCTCGTCTGCCAATTTTAGCTGCAGTTATCATATCAGTGCTATATTTGAACCACCGAATTTAATGAAGAGAAAAAACATGGGAAGTCGGTGCAGTGTATGCAGAAACGAAAGGAACAAATTTTCAAATTAGAGTAGCCGTGAGAATAACGAACAATATGCGGGTTTTGAGTTGGACAAATATTAACTGGGGCCTAGGCCCATGACACTATTTATCTATGATTAATCATGGACATAATAAGAGATGTCCATGGATTAATCTATAAAGGTAGCGGACAGGGTCCTACCCTCTACCAGGGTGGAGCGCAGATATTATAGGGAAATTTTGAAAGAGCCAGGCAGAGAATGAAATGCCTGTCTATTTATCTAAAGGCATATCTTTGTATATCTTGTGAAAAATCAATCTGTCGCCCTGGTAGAGGGCAACAGGGCCCTTAGTCTCCGACCCTGCTAAGGATCTGAAGGACGATGTGGAAAAATGTGTGTGTGTGTGTGTGTGTGTGTTGGGTGGAAGAGAGGGGGGTCAATCGTTTCTCAATTTGTGAGGGGAAGGGGAATACAAACAAACCGATTTGTTTGTATTCACAATGATTTTTGTTTCAGAATGGTAAATGTGATTGGCATTTTAAATCTTTTTTCTTTTGTTCACGCTTCACCTTGCTGGTGGGTCGTTTGAACGGCAGGGTTCACTGGTAAAACCAACTTNGGGGGGAAGGGGGGGGGGGGTCAATCGTTTCTCAATTTGTGAGGGAAAGGGGAATACAAACAAACCGATTTGTTTGTATTCACAATGATTTTTGTTTCAGAATGGTAAATGTGATTGGCATTTTAAATCTTTTTTTCTTTTGTTCACGCTTCACCTTGATGGTGGGTCGTTTGAACGACAGGGTTCACTGGTAAAACCAACTTTGGGAGGTCTGATTTCATTGCCCGTAGCAATAGTCCGAAGGTTCAATAGTCCGAAGGTTCATTGGTCCGAATATTCACTATAGAACCTTCAGAGCAATGAACCCTTGATTAAAAAATCGAAGGAAATGTTACCACTTTTCGGACCAATGAACCTTCGGACGAATGAACCTTCGGACTATCGAGACGCCCCCATCTTAGATATCTTGTGAAAACGGATAAATCACTCTGTCTGTACACTTCAAATATAATTTATTTATTTTCAATCTGAATATTTAGCGTGCGACGATGTAATTAATTAAAAGTGTCATAGCACACACAGTTTCTGGTAAGTGTGAGTGTGTTAGCGAGTGTTGTTCCCCCCTTTTGTGTATTGCCATGTATTTGTGATGTCAATGGTGTCAATTAAAAAAAAAAGTAGCGTTTTATGCCGTGAACACAGGTGCATTATTCCTTCTAGACCACGCTTCCTTACAGTAGGGCCTAATAAAGTTCTATGCCAATAATACGGAGCATCCTACAAATGATCTACTTCAACAAAAATGTCTTGATTGAAATATATTGGTACGATGTACATGTATGTAACGAAAACGTGCGGATTTTTGTGTCACAAAATGAGGGAAAATATTTTGAAAAAAAAAAAAAAACAGTTGTGCTAAAACTTGACCTTTCTGCTGGAATGGAAATTTGATTTCTCATTCAAAGTAGTCTTTTTTTGTACTGAGTTAGAAAGCAGAGAAAATTTATTGTGGTTGATGCTGCAACTCATCCCGCACGAAAATGTAGTAGTATAGAGGTAGCAAAGAAGCATTAACGCAGTAGTGGTGTGGAGCATATTTGCAGTAGAAATGCAGTATAGCCTACTGCAATTCTACTCCAAAAAGTACATAGGTTTGTACAGAGAGGAGCATTAATGCAGTAGATAAGCAGCATGATAGACGCATGTTTCAAATATGCTAAAAAGCTCCCAAATCAAAGCAGATTTGAGGCATGTTTGCAGTATGATTGCAGTAGTCTACTGTGCTGGAGTATCTACTGCGTTTTAGTGCGGATATGTTACGTTACAGTTTTCCATCTGGCTCTGGTTACAGGCTGTCTTGGCGAGTAGCAGCTTATGGTCAAACCTGTTCACCGATACTACGTGCAAATGGCTACCTCGGTCACGTTTTCGCTTTCAACGCGTTTAGTACAGAGACATTTGTCATTAAGGTGCAGAGTCGACCAAATAAGATGGAGAACACGACAGCATAATCTTCCTATTCGTAAACGTAAACGCATGACATATCTTAAAAGACCTGGTATACCGCCAGAGATAGCGCCAACTCTAGAGATGCGGTTGGCCGGTGAGTAGAGGAATTATGCCTAACGTATTTTTCTAGTAATTCATGCAAGTTACTTTGCATTTAGTACACAGATAACCACACATCTGAGCATGAATAGACAATTTGAAATTTTAAGCAATCTCGTTTAGATTATAATATATTCGTATATTAATGACACCATGTTTGCCAATTTTTCAAAACGCCATTTTCATTTTTATTATTTGACTGTGAATTTGTTGCCCTATTTGTCAGAAGTTATTAGAAAAGAAAGAAGCTATAATTATTTTTCTGTTTATTATAAAGAAGACTTTTCTTGTACTATTTGACTGGGGAGGAGGGGCAAATAAATTTTTGCAAAAATTTTACTGTCTTAATCAGACATGGTTCTTTATCAATTACTAGCTATCACATAAGGCCTGGGCACCAAATCCCTGGTGTCCTTATGGTCAATAGCAAATATGATCCCAGGGGTTAAAGTGCCATAGTTAAAAACTGACGCCCCCTCCATGACACAAAAACTTTACCGAACTGTAGATTTATGAAAAATGCGTTACATGTAAAATTCCCAAATGGGTCAAAATACAGACATTTAGTCTTTACACAACACAATGATTTAAGTTAACTTGCAATTGGTCTAGATGCCATTTTATAACTGCACATATTTTGTCCAGAATACTGTGGAATTACCCTAATAATAAAAAAAAATATTACTTGTAAATAGTCATATAAGTTAGACTACTAGATATGACATTGTGCCACCTCTTTTCTCTAGTTGTATGATAGTGTTTCTTTCATTCTCATTGGTATTATTATATATTCAGAGCCCCAATATATAGTTTATATAATACATTCCATCAGTCCCATATGTAGAATCACATATACATAGCAGATCTGATCCCCTGCTGAATATTTCCAGCCTGTTAAATGTTTAATGGATTATGATAACATGTCACTGTATTTCAGACTTCCATAAAAGTGCACTACCAGTGGAAGAGATAGACATTGGTTTGCCAGATACCACTGGTCCTGTGAAGCATAGGCCATCCAATAAGGAATATGTTGAATGGACAAAGAACAAAAGACAGTATGAAGATGAAGCCAGACTTAGAACATGTAATTATTCAGATTTTTCAGTAGCTTTGTTTAAAAAGATTTTGAAATGTACAAAAGAAATATTTTGACGGTCACTGAATTAGTGTTCATGCATATTATTAAGCATTAAGCACACGTTAAGTTATGAGGTTTGTTGCAAACATGTTCAGAGAAATAATTATATGCATTCCATGTATTAAGTAAGAATAATGCTGTGCCCTATTAAAAGACAGAATTTGTCTCATTTGACCTGGGTATGGTTAGTACTAACAGTTAAAACCTGTCACCTTTTAAAATTCTGCACACTGAAGGTAAGACATGAAAGGAGTAATTTGCACCAATAAAGACCCCACTAGTATTTTTTTGTTATTTTGGGGTTTTCTACTTAATGAATTACTTTGGGAATCATACCAAATTAGTGGGAATTGACAGATTCTCTTCACGTTTTAATGTATATATATAAGCTAATAAGATGCTTTGTGGTAATGATTGAGATTTTGGCTAATGTTCATATTCATATTTGGTGCAAAATAATTATGTAAAGGCAACATGAGTTTTGTCTGTTCTTCAGACACATCTCACAGATTTTCAAACTTGACAATATACTTTTAAGTATTAAAATACTAACACATTTTGTTCATATTAAAATACTAACACATTTTGTTCATATTAAAATACTAACACATTTTGTTCATATTAAAATACTAACACATTTTGTTCATATTAAGATACTAACACATTTTGTTCAGAGTGTGCTTGTGTGTTTGGCATTGGGGAGGGGGGGGGGGAGGGGTCAAGGAATCAAATCTGAAGGAAGCAGTTCACACTGATGCACCTTGACGGCTGCTGTAAAGTTGGGCCCAAGGGTTGCTGACCTTGGTGAATATATGTGCTGCAGTGTTGTAACATAACTAATATTATAGTCTACAAATGATTTTGATGGGATTTAGTTTACAATTTATGATATGATACAGTGTTTTTGAAGTTAAGTGACCTTTTCATAGTGATTTGTTCAGAAATTAACAAGAATAACTGAAAAGATAGATAAATAAATAAAATCAGCCACTGAGTGGACACAAAAATGATCAGAAAACTGTATGATTATTTGTTAAACTATCTGTTGTGATTGTTTTCAGTGGAGATACCACTATCAGAGGTCCAGAGTGAATGGGAAAAAATAAGTGGTCCAGACTTCTCTGTTACCATGGCAAGGCATTACAATATATTCAAAGATTTGTTTGGCCCAGTTTATTTCACCCCGAGAGTTCCCCTGGACATTTTCTATGAGCTGGATTCAGAAGATGTGGCACCTGTTTACTGTGGCAACAGGATAGCAGCCTCAGAGGTGAGTTAGCAGGGGTTATTGTAGTGAAATGTAAATAATTGAAGATACTATAAGAAAACCATTCTGAATACCATTTCTTCTACAGTTAGTTGTTAGATAAGGTAGATTATAATTTCTTTAACATTCTTTAAATGTATTTTCTTAGATAACCTTATTGTAACAAACCAGTGATATGATGCATAAGAGTGTAATATTTTCTCAAAGATGCCATTGTTCCTGTTGCTATGATATATCAGATAGTGGTGTATGCCATATACTTACAGTCTGGCCAGGCCCCCGTGGTCCAGTTTGATGCCCCTGAGGACACACTGTGGACCCTGGTGATGACCAGTCCTGACGGTCACTTGCAGGACAACACTGCTGAGTGTCTCCATTGGTTTGTGTGAGTCTACAGTGCTTTGATGTCCTCTTGGTTAAGTCACACATTGTCTGTTTGCTTCTCTTCTCATGATAATAATAGCAAATATGAACATTACTACTAAAATAGAATTATAAGATGTTGATCTGTAATATCATAATATTTCTCCATTGAGTTTCATAAAGGACATTAACCATTTGTTGGAGTAAACGCTGTCTGCATATTATAAGAGTGAGAGTCAGCAGTAATAAATTTTATCAGAGGTGGAGCATTTTTTGCATGCAGAAATACAGAGAGGTGTCAGTTGAAACATTTTTACCAATTCCTGGGTTCCTCCTTATCAAGTAAAATTAAGGTCGTGTGTTTCTTATACATCATTTTATGTTATTTCCTGTTTATCTTCTAGAGGTAATATTCCTGGAGAACAAGTAGATAAAGGGGAGTCCATATGTGATTACCTTCCCCCCTTTCCTCCCAATGGTACAGGGTACTTGCGCTATGTTTTTATTCTCTATAAACAAGACAAACTTATGGACTACAGCTTGGAGAAGAGACCACAGAACTGGTGAGTTAGTTCAGGAGTATAGAAGTTCATGATCATGACCTAATTTTAAAATAACTGGAAATAGACAATGTTATGAAGCCAGACAACAGATTGCTGAAGATGGGATTTCAAATTCTAAGTTGGTTTTTGTGTAATTTTGTCAGCCGATGATGTCAGTAACCCTATTTGAGGTTTAAGTTGATTTTTTTGTGAGCACAGAAAAAAGTTAAATTTCTGAATTGAATTGAACTACACTAGGGAAGGATTGGATTAACACCATACTTCATCCAAAATGGTGTCTATTAATAACAGTTTTCCATAGGAAAGCAAAACTAGTTCTGAGCTCTTACAAATTTATTTAGTAACATAGTGACACAGAAATGATACCCCCCAAAAATGAGGTCTTACTAGCACAGCCTTTAGCTCAAAATAAAAAAAAGAAAAAACCAAAGGTAACAGACAGCATGTAGCACTTTATACAGAAACTCTAAGTGCCCCCTGTGTATGTCCATGTCGATGTCTGGCATATTTTCATACACATGGCAACTGTCAAACTGAATTTTTTTAAGCCTTGAGTTTACAGGTAGTTTTATTTGCTAGATTTGCAGGTTGATTCTGAAAATCTGCATTTTCAGTAGATTTTCACGAAAGTAACACCATTTCCCTTACATGGATTTCCCTCAAGTTACCTTTAAACCTCTCCTATCAGTCAACTTGTCCCTGTTATCAGGTGGAAACAAATTTTCCAGAACTTGAGATAAATTGCTGAACTTGATAACCATGTTGTGCCTATCTGTTGACTCTGTTATTCTGATTTTATTATAGCAGTCTTACTTTATTGTTAAATTTTACATCATAAGTTATTTAATTAAAAGTTTCATTGAATTGATCTCTGGTGATCTCTTTTGCAGCCGCAGTCTCAAGGAGAGAACATTTAGCACATTCAAGTTTTATCAGCGCCATGAGGATTACATGACACCTGCAGCCTTCCTGTTCTTCCAGTGCTGCTATGATAGCAGTGTGAGAGACGTGTATCATCATATACTGAGTGAGTATGATAGCAGTGTGAGAGATGTGTATTCTCATATCATGTACTCATTGAGTATGGTAGCAGTGTGAGAGATGTGCATCGTCATGTACTCAGCGAGTATTAAAGCAGTGTGTGAGTCTGATAACATGTTACCATTGCCAAGCAGCTGAAATCATATTTCTAATGCTTTTATAGTCTTGCTTTGTACTTAAAAGCCAATAAAATTTTATATTTGTCGTGCAGGTTTCCCAGGCAGTTCCATCAATTATAAGTATCCATAAATCACTGGCAATAGTATATTTTCTCTTTTCAGACATGAAGGAGCCATCCTATGAGTACGACTATCCCCCTGCCTACCGCCCAAAGCAAGTCAAGTATCCACACAGAGAACCATTTAATTTGTATGTATATTATAGATCAGGTTCAGTGGCAGTGTTCTAAATAATTTTAAAAAAAACATGCCCCTTAAAGGGCCTAAATGTGATGCATGAGGATGGCTGCTTATTATTGTGTGTTTCTTCCATTGTTCAGTTATATTGCACTCAGATCTCATTTGTAGGGCTAAATTCAGTGTCTACAATACTTACATTTTATGTCAATGTATTTTGTAATTTTTGCCATCTAGATACAGCTGTCAAAAAATATATGTGCTCATAAATTTATTCATTTCCTAGAATTCATTTTACACATAATACTTTGTTAACTAAATGTATTTGTCATCTTTGAGAGGGAAGCCCTGGCCTTGGGTTCAGGTCACCAACATGGACCTTGTCAAGACATTCCAGTAAGAATGAGGAAATTGTCAAGCATTTTCATTTGTTTTTTTTTTTTATTTTTCAGCTACCTGGACAAGTACAGGGATATAAAGGACATTAATGAACAGGTTTTAGTAGAAAAACTCAAAGTCATATCACCATTTGAGCAGTACAAACCTAAGAAATACCCTTTCATGTACCCATACAAAAGCAAGCAGTCTTGGCAGCGGCTGGAAGCACAGAACAAGGTTCTACACAAGGGAAAATGGAAGGACTTTGCATGATTTTTATTTCAAAATTAAAGGAAAACATGATCTTACAAAGATATCATTCATAAGGAGGGAGTAAGCAGATCAGTGAAAAACTACTAGAGAAGCAGGGATGCCAATTTTACATTCTGCAATTCTTGTGTTTGTCTACATAAAAACTGCTCAGTCATGAAAAATTAATATCATACTTAAATTTCAAATAAACATCATGAGAAGTTGAATTTCTAGCACGTTGATTCCACAAGGAGGGTGTGGTTTTATGAAGGGTCTTGTATGTAAGATACCTAAGATACTAAAAATACCTTTGATTGGATTCAATTTTGCCTGTTTTTAACAAAGAGAAAACTCTTCCTAGCTCTTATTATTTTAAGGAGAAAAATATTTTTTATGACATGCTTGAACATATCTACTGCAGGAAGAATGATTTTCTACAGATTAATGGAAAACATCACATTGCACAATTTTAGAACACTTTGAAGTATTATAAAACTTTCTTACCTCAAACTAAAAACTATTTTGGTCATTGTTTGACACTTCATCCTTTTGTTGCTATTCAGTCGAAGTTTTCAGTAGATGATACAACTTATCATCTTTATGATCAACAGCTATCCATGTTTTTGGGCATTGTAAAACATTTCATGCATGTAGAACCAAGTTGGGCTTATATTACAGTAAAAATCTAAGCACAAAGTTAAACCAAACTAAAGAAGTACATATTAATAACTACACTAATTAATAAACAGTGATATGAGGCCTGGCACAATTTGAGATCACATTCTTTGAGTTCCTGTTTTTCCTTCTCAGAGTATAAGACTCACTCAACATGTGCAGCAAACATTTTAAAGCCAGGGTGACAGCAGCCACATCCCAGGTAATGGTTTTAGGAGACTAGCAGTACTGTACTTAGTAAAGATAGCTGACCAGTCTTGTAACAACAATAAGTAGAGGATTGTCTACCCCCTAGCATGCTGAGACTGACGACCTTCACAAGGGCAATGGCAGCAGGTGGTTTTCATGAATACGTGCTGTCACTGTTGTTATTCAGTTGGGCATCTAGAGCCTGAGAAGAAAAAATTGGCCCTGAATCAATACAGATTGTTATACAAGTTTATATATTCAAAAATAAAACTTAAACATTACACAAATGTAATAGGAAAATCGTAACAATAACACAGCTGATGTAATTATTTAATAAAAGCAAGCAATAAGAAGACTTGTTCTTGAAAATGGAATAATGTTTGCTAGCAAACGTGAACTGACTTTTATTATGTCTCCTGTCTGATGTAAGACAGCTAGTCCATTATCTTTATAACACAAGGTACTACTTCAACTTTGTTATGAAGCAACTAACACACATCACATTAAAACTGCTTGGAGTCTAATAAATGTTTACAGCCAATGATAAATTAGTGAAATGTAACAAACTTTCTTCTCAAAGATTCTTCCCCTCGCCCTTTCAACCAACCCCGTAAAAATAACAATACTAACAGGACGTAATAATTTGATTTTTTTTTTGGGAGGGGGGAGGGGTAAAAAAAAAAGCTACTAACTGTTAGTCTAGCTTTTTTTGATCTCATATAAAAATTATAATTTGTTTGCAAATAATTCATTAGTAGATTAGTCTAGTTCCTGTAATTACAATACTTGGAGACAAGATATAAGAAAAGAAATGGCAAATAACTGGGACTTATCTTAAAATCTACCCCCTTCCCTCTTATCAGCCACCCACTAAAGGACAGAAACACAGTATGGGTCTTGTGGCAAATACCTATCTCTGCCGTATAATTAATATATAAGTTGAAGCACAAGGTGAACTGCAACTGCTTTACCTCATCTCGCTGTATTTTCACAACACACAATCGGGTGTTCTCTGGGCGCAAGTGCCTCTCTAATTTAGGAAGGTGAGACTTCTTCTCTGACACTACTTGTTGTTTGACATGGCAGTCTTCAAGTATAGCATCAAACTGAAAAGTCATTCAAAAAAATTTTTAATACCATTATTATAATAACAGAGAAGTTTATGGGAAATTTTGCTGGAGTAAATTTTGAAGACAGTGCATCTAAAAGCTGGGAATGTGTATTAATTTAAGAAGTTCCCAGTGGAATTTCCGAGCACAAATATATTTATGAACCTGTTCATTTGGCAAAACTAAAAATTATAATTATAATAAATAACAATAATTATAATACAGTAATAGGTACGTGGGTTTGAAAGATGTGACAAATATAAAATACAAATGATAAATAGCAATGATGAAACTGAAAAGAGCTAAGGACTACCCTGATGTTTTCTTTATCTGTGGAAAGAATATGTTCAAGAATATCTTACAATATGCACCATTTACATGACCGCAGCTTTACAAGAGCAATATTTATTGGGTAAAGTACCTGTGTGAAAGACTGTGTGGAGGTAGTCGACAAAACATCTGAGGCTTTGTCTTCATCTTCTTCCACATCAGATTCCTCTATGACGTAGGAAAGTAACTGCTGCCCTGCACTGTCTCCTATACTACTGGTATCATTGGACTCCCCCTCTTCTTCTTCAGATGTGACTTCAGCTAAAATATCTTAAAAAAGATGCTCTATATATTTAAGAAATTTGATGCCATATCACTATTCAAAGAAAGTGGGGCTGTAATTCTTTGTCAGTGAATCAAAACAAACCCAAATGATTTAAGAAGACCATTGGACAGTTTAATAAAAATACAAATCTACATTAAGAACTTAATTTGAAGTATAACCCATTGTGTTTTTGAATTATAAAAATACCATTCAGTTTCTAGGTAAATCATCAGACAATATAAACAAGATACGTGTATGTAATCACCATTTGCAAGTTCTACTTTTCCATCTGTTTGCTTGTCTTTGCTGGGTAAATCTGGATGAACCTGCATTATATGAAAAAACAGCGATATCATTTCGGTTTTAAATAATGTTTGTGATTTTAAAAAAATTCTGTTAGTGAATGGTCTTGTTTTGGACAAACTCATAAATTTGTAGAGACAATTGTCACAAATTGGCCAAATTTGACAATAAATTGGGAATACGTCATTTACAGCATGGTCTAAAACTGCACTTTTTAGATATGTCTGGTTGCTTTATAGAAACCTTTGCTGAATGGTAGCATATGTGTCAGCCAAATCACTGAACTCGTGGACAAAATAATAAAATATCAACTTAATTGACCTGAGAGACTAAGCTACTGGACACCTGTGACTTGGAAGCCTTCATGTTTGGTTGCTGTGTCCTACTTTCTTGGAGTGGCTGATGTGACAGATCTCTCTCCTGAGACAATACCATTTCTTCACTGCTACTGGATATGAGATACACCTGAAAATAAGATGAGGGAAACCCAATAATTTAGAAGACTTTCCAATAAAAGAATATCTGAAACAAATGTATTATTAAGTTAAGTATGTAGCAAAGGTATTATTTTTTAAACCAATTAAAAAACTCAATTCAAGTACTTCAAGAACAACATCAGAACATCAAAATTAGAAACAAGGTGAAATTAATATCTAAGTACCAGTAATTGGGAAAATCAGTACCTGGGTGTCTGCTGCATTCCTCTCTCCACTGTTTTTCTCTGCCAATTCTTGAGGGTCTGAAGAATCACTCCGAAGGCACCCAGTATCACCTGAACTGCTGCAAACACATTTATTTTATACAAAAATCCACAACAAGCAAAAATGAAATTTATGAGTTTTCTAGCTTTGAGTACATTTATCTCGATTGCTCATATAATAATTATATCAATGTATGTAATTTGACACATCACATATGATAATATACAAGAGCAAATCAAAATCATGTAAATGTGTAATTTTCAATTTCAATTTTCATAGTTTATCAAGGTAGTTGTATATGAACCAAAAGAAATAAAACAAACAGAAATGATTTTCAGATGACATATCTTTAGCCTACCAGTACGTACCTTATTACTATAAAATCTCTTTTATCTCCTGGAGAAACTTTTGGAACCGGCAGCAGAGACTGGGAAGCAGAAGATGAACTACTTTCTTGTGACATTTCAATGTTATCCACAGGTTTTAGAATGCCTTGTGGACTTCTGTTTGTTTCAGTTTTCTCACTATCTAAATGCCTCTTGTTTCGTTCAGGTCCTCTTGAAAATGTATTCGCATTTGGTAAACTTCTCTTCATGTAATCCTCGGATTCAGAATTTGATTTTTTACTTTGATTACTGTTTGGACTGAAATGTCTTCTGCTAACCTGTCTGTCTTCACTTGTTTGTAATTCTGACTGGACTTTTAAACGTTTAAACCCTGTTTGGAGGTTTGCAGCTGGCATGTCCTTTGGTTTTGAATCAGTTTTTATGAAACTACCTCTCCCTTTCCGTTTTGGATGAGCAGAATTGAAATCAGTGTAGTAAGTATAAGTTTCATTTTGTGTGTCTTGTGATACTCCATCAGAATTTTCTGAAGTAGGGCTTCTCAACTGGCCATTTTTGGACTGGACCATGTAGCTCAGCTTACTTGTCTCTTGAGATTTTAGAATCTGTTCCTGATTTAAAGAGTTTGTTGGAGACTCAGGTGCTTTTTTCCTGTAAAAGAATCTTGACACTACATGACGCAACCAAAAGCATTATAAAACATAATCAAAATCCATTAAAATCTATACGAAACATGTCCAAGACAAAGACCAGCTATCTTAATTTTACAATATACTGTTTACACGTATAATTTAAAATGCATGCATACATAATATTAGATCTTAATCTTTTACATCTTTATGGCAAAGAGACATTATAATTAAATGTAATCATATCTTCTATAAACCGAATGAACTCTATCTACCTCAGTTTTAAACCATCTGTGCTGATGTCAGTATGTTTCATCTTTCTCTTCTGTCTGTGCTCTGTCTGCCACATCTCCTCCAGAACAGCCACAAAGTCGTCTGCCGTGGGCTGCTCTTTACTGAGAATTAAATCCAGAACAATTTCCATGTTCTCTGATGTGGGTGTAGAGAGATCCCTCATGGAAGGCCTCTCACCAGCTAAAATCTGGTATTTATAATAATAAATTTATTGATGAAATTATTGAACATGTATATAATCACTTTGAAATTCTTTTGTTTCTCAGTATGTCTTTTTTATATAATACAAATTATACTTTCATGATACCAATAACAATAAATTCCAAGACATTTATAAACCTCTGAACTAAATCCTAAAATAGAGAAAATTCCTTTTATTCTGCTGGAAAACCTCATTCAGATTTATCTTAAACTGTAACACAAATCTATGGATAAAAAAATAAAGCGTTAAGAGAAAGAGTAACCTCTTCTATGAAAGTCATGTGAGATAACCTCAAAATGTCAGTCTTTAACCAAATTTATCAATATTTAAAAACAAAGGGTGAAAATAGAAAACTGGTTGAAAAGTGGGTACCCTAGTCCTGTTGTTTCTTAGAAAGTCTTACCATATCAATTGTTGTAGGAGGCAGGATCTCTTCAATCTTAGAAACAAATTCATTTACCAGCCTTCGCACAGAGTCCTTAAAATCTTGCCCAAAGTCCTCCCTATACCTATGCTTCAAGTAGTCTGCACACCTGTCTTCATCTGCAACCAGGGAGATGAACAGCTTTCTAAATTCGATCTCTCTCTTGTGTAGTACTCTTTGTATCTACATATATAGAAAAGAATATCATAAAATACATAATTTACAAAGAAGGAAGTTAATCAAGTGTGTGCAGATACAGTTATAAGTACAATACTGCATCAAGTTTTCAGAAGCCGTACATTTCTATATTAATAAGATATTATTGTGTATAAAGAAAGGGACTGGAACTCTGCAAAATGTATACTGTATTGTATCGAAATTCTAGAGGATTTTGTCACAGTTTTGAAAATGGACTGTAAATTCTCTTTACAGAGGACTCATGTTAATTCAAAACAAAATAGCATTTCATTTTCCAGAAGTTGCATTAAAAACTGAAAATTTTTATCTGAGGAATTGATTAAATATTTAACATTTGGGAAAAATCTATAAAATATACAACAGCTTTTACCCATATATATCATCCTATTTTATCCAAGACTTTTGGCCACTTCTATTCCCAAAAAGTGACCTCATGAGAGTTAAGAAAAGGTGAACATCTTTTTTTAAACTTCTTTAAATTCGGGATATGGAAAGATGAAAAATTTTAAGGGGGAAGAAAAAAAATACTATGGAGGAAACACTGTGGAATAACTCTTTAAACAAATAAATGCTCAGTTTGTCAAATTCTGCTTCTAAATGTAATATATACTAACCTTCAACTCTCTGCCATTTCGAGGAAAATATTCATTTAGTTTTGCCAAAATGTCTTCACCCTTGGTTTTCAACAAATGGAATAAGTGCTTACACAAGAAAAAAAAAGAAAATAATTACATATTTTTTAAAAAAGAAAATTGTGCCCCTAGATTATTATATATGAAATCTCTGATGCGTGTAAGATATAGCCTGTGCATTTAAGTAAAGTTTTAACAAATATAACATTATCAGTAATGTTACTTGGGTAAATACTGAAATGAGAGCTCTGTTATCTAATGTCACTTCCAGTTAATTATTTTCAAGACTCACCATAGTTCTCAAACCAGTCATCAGCATTGAAAAGAGTGTGTAAGGAATGACTTCTTCAGCAAAAATGTACAGAACATCAAGTATTTCCATTGCACCCTGAAAGTCCTTCAGTTGCCAGTCTGTGACAACAAATAGCAGAGCTGCTAAGCCTTGATAAACTGGAGCAACTTGAAACGTGTCTAGACCATCGGGGTACTTCTTACATAGGACTGAAAAAATAAAAAATAAACATTGAACTTTTTCATCGCAGTTCTTCAAAAGTGGCAATTACTGTGCATCCAATAAAAATGTCATAAATTTTCACATTGTCTTTGGACAAATCACTTCTTTATTCATTATTACTACATATTCACTAGATATAAAATATGGATCAGAACTGACCTACCCCTTCCCATATTTACCTATACAGGACTGTTTTAATATTAATAAATGCATGGTAAATTTGGTTATAGATAAACATCATAAACTAGGGTCTTGAAAAAAAAACAGTAACAAATTCTTTTATCTCACACTTTTGTTATGCTCACCATGTAAGACTTGGTGCATTTTATGTCGACAAGCATATTCTAGTATCCATCTCTCTTCAGCATTCATTCTCTGAAATTATAAATGTGACTTTATACATATAACCTCTCGTGCAGCACAATTTTTTAAAACTTATGTCATAAGGGGTTAGCACTATCAGTGTATTCTTTCCCTCATTTTAGACTATAGGAATTACTAAAAATACATATATCCAATACATACACTGAATAATATAGCAGTGAACTAAATGTACATCATTTTACATGTAACACAGGTTAAGTAATGGAAAAGGCAAAAAAAAAAAAAAAAACATGCTCTATTTTAAGTTTGTTATAAGGTGTTGTATCATACTTCAGTTTAGAATTATACACTGCAGATGCACTCAAACCTCGAAAAGAATCTCCTTCTCCTTATAATAATAATGGTATTATTTTAAATAAAAGATCGTGTTCCCGCCCGTACTTATTGACGGTAGCTGTATTCCAGCCTCCGTTTGCAAGAGAGTTCTCAACTGTTTACGTGCTTAGAGCCAACTGGCATATTTACATGAAAATGCAAGATTGTACGTAGGTAAGGCAAGTTATGAAGAATTAAAAATCCAATGCTAAAACAGAATGTACAATACAGTATGTAAGAGCGTTAATACCTTGATGACGGTGCAAGTTTCAAAGTGACACCACTCGCTGTGGGAAATACCACCGGAAGTGTCTATAGTCTATAAGTACTGTACTGTAGAAACAAGTTGAAATTGAAACTTGGAAAAAATTCATGGATTTATTTAATTGGAGAAAGGGTAAGCAATACTACGAACTTTGTGTGTGTGAACAAGGTCTAGAAAATAATTCATAATAGATTTCATTTTTACGAGTTGGTGCCTTTCAGTTCCACAGTCTAGATACTAAATCGTTTTCCTTTTTAGTGTCACATACATGTATATGTTTCTGTGTCCCACGAAACCGTTTTTTCTTTGTATTTACTGTGTCACTAGTTTTGGTTCACGTTATGCCAAAAGTAAATTCAAGGCCGGAAGTCAATCTGTGGAACCGAAAATAGGCTTTTAATGTAAATTCATGTGACATACATACATGTACAGTGTACACCAGGAAGTAAAACACACTCAACTGCTCACTCTTGACTGCAAATGCCTACTTAAAAATAGATGTTCGTGCTTAACACAGAATAAGGTCAGGTTTTTGATGTGGATATAAAACAGAATGTACAAATTTTAAACCTTCTTAGCTACATGTATAAGGTTGGAATTCGTGGAAGGTTTTCCTGTGGAACAGTGGCTAAAGAGACCAGTGAAGATTGCACAATGTAGGGGGAAATTGATACTTTTGTCAGGCACCTATGCATAATACATGTACATTATATGTAACAGCTTTAGGTATACTGGATTTATGTATGAAAAATCTTAGAAAAGATCGAATAGATGTGTTTTATGGCTTAAATCTGAGGTTAAAAACAGTGATGAGAGCAAAGTCATTGTTTTTAAGAGAAGACTGCTTGAGAATTGATTGAAGAAGCTACATAACATAAGTGAAGACAGGGGAATTAAAGATTTTGAAATACAGTTCTGTGCCAGAAAAGACAATTAAATGGCTAATAGCATGTTAGCAGATGTGTTTGTGGCTGGTTGTCGTGGAGAAGTATTGGTTCCTAATGGGCTGGTGGAAGGACGAACCCATGGTTGGAGGAGTTTATTTTCTGGTCATGGAAGTCGTATCCAACTGTTACAGCAGAACATGCTTTACAAGATTTTAGTTACAGAAAGAGGAAAGAATGGGGTAGGCTGATTTGAAATATCTTTGACTAACTTGTCAATGAACAGTGTTACAGGCACACATACTGGGCAGTTCTTATACTGAGTACACAGACAGATCATTTCCACAATCCTCCTTCAGGTTATATTAGTTCATCACTCAGGTTATGTCAGTTTATTATTGATCAAATACAATATTTGTTGTCTCCACATTTTAAATCTTTGGAGATGGGAGCGGTATCTTAAATTTCATCACATGAATTACCCATAAATTCCATCAGATATATTTGATTTTTCCAATTTTTATAAATTTTGATAGTGAAAATTATTTAAGTACAAGTATTATTTATAAATGATGCCTATGACCAGTCACAGTATAACATGGATTTATTAGTAGTTTGAATTATCCTTACTAATATGAATTTACTCATGTCTCAATAATTTTATAGATGTTCTTCAACATTTTACAGACAAAACATGAAAAATGTTAATGAATGACATTAATTTTTTGAAATGTTTTTTATAATTGCAGTTATTTGAATTTATTTAAGTAAAATGGATGTTATGGTTAAAAAGACACCATTTTCTAACATTCTTATGTACAGACACAAATGTTTCTGTACATATAGCCGTCGCCTGTGTCTGTTGTGTCGTCAACATGCACTTTCATTGTTATACAAATAAAAGGAAAACCATTTCACCTTTTGTCTTTAAACTTACAGAACTGATAAATATTCATAAAGTAAAGGTCAAGTTTGAAAATCAGCTTTCAAAAGTTATACTGTTTTCCTGTTTTTTTTTCAACATAATTTATCTACTGTTATACAAATAAGATGACCGTTCTACCTTTTGTCTTCAAACTTACGTAACTGATGAATATTCATAAAATACAGGTCAAGTTAAAAAAATCAGCCTGAATGCACCATTTTTCCAAAAGTTATATTGTTTTTCTGTTTTTTTTCAGCATATTTTATCCACTGTTATACAAATAAAATGAAAATTGTTTCACCTTTTGTCTTCAAACTTACATAAAACGTTCTGACGAATATTCATTAAATACAGGTCAAGTTAAAAAATCAGCCTGATTGGACCATTTTTCCAAAAAATTATTTTCTTTTTTGTTGTCTGTACATTTGCTGCCATTTGCAGCTTTGCTGCCTTGTTTAAAATTGAGTTTGCCTTTGACCCAAATTTGTCTCTTGTCATGTATGTGCTTACTGGGGACTAGTTATCTTTTGAATTTACTATCTTGTGTGTGTTTGATATTTGTACACATAGATAATTTTTGATCATATTTTTTTCAGGGTCAGCTGGCAGTAATACTGAACACAGCTAATTATGAGGTGAAAAAAGAGGAATGGCATGAGATCAAGACCAGTGACGGGAAATTATTTGCTTTTAAATTTGACAAGTATGCCAGTTACATAGTCAAGATATTTTCTACACTGGACTCAAATCATAAACATGTAGAATGAATCCAGTGTTAGTGATAAAGCTTGTCAAGAATGGTCTGACTTGGCTTTGGTTGTGTGGACTGTTGCTCCTTCCTGATGCAGTTATAACCACAATGCTAGATGCAAACTGGTAGACTGAGAGAGGCTGTCATTTAACCAAAACAAAATTCTCACATTCTGTAATTTTTGTGTCGAATTCCACAGTTATAAAATGTATTGAGTCAAAAAAATAGCAATAGCATGGAGTAATATTATATTACATAAATATAGCAGTCTTTAAAAATCAAATTAATATTTTGATTTTATGATGTTTTAAGCATCTGCCTAATATGATGTATATACTGTCTCATGATATATGCTATTAGTTGTGAATATAACATAATATTTATTTTTCATTCTGGATGTTACAGAAATGATAAGCAGTTTGTAGTTTTCCAAGCAGAACTAAAGAGAGTGCTGCAGTTAGAGACACGCCCACTGAGGAGGGGAGGGAGGAACAGAGAGCAAACTAACACCAAGTGCTCACCTGGTATGCAATGCTTGAAATATTTTAAAGCAGCTCATCTGGTGATGCTTTCATATCAATATTTTTGATAGGAATCCTATCTGTCCTACATTATGAATATGTTGAAAATTATGTTTCAAGGAATCTGCAGTCCTGTCATTAATGTCCTTTTCTGAGGGATGTTTTAAATTTTTACTTGTAAAATATAAAAGCTTTTTTTAAACAGCACCATGAGGCTGAGAAGCTTGTAGGGGAAGAGCATCATAGGTTGGTATTGCTTGTGATCAGTTTTCTTTTTGACACAATATTTGGCACCACATGTGATTTTGATAATTGAGGACAGAAAATGCTTGTTTATTTATATTTGTTCCATATACTTAAAAAAGCCAGGCTAAAAAGAGAGATCCTCTTTAAATTTAGTGCATGTGATATTCATGTAAGAAAGAAATTGGTAGTTAGAATGTAGAATGTACAATCTAAATAAAAATTATAAAAATTATGAAAAATTAAAAACATAAAATCCCTAAAGGAAATTTGATTGTTAATAGCATGAAAAATATAAGAAAAACTAAATATTCATATTATTCATTTAAAGATCAGTAATATATAATATTATTGCATTAATTTTTTATAATTTTACACCATTCTGGCTACCACACCTTGGAAGCTGGTAGTCCTGCCAAGAGAACATGTTGGGTCCTATATTGTGTTATTTCATTTAAAAGTTGGCGGTATTGATATGGTTGTCTGTTGTTTGCCCAACCCCTTTAATTTGTTTAATTATTTTAAACGTTTTAAAAGGAAATACAGCTGAAACTTATATACTCACCATACTGTGTAAATAACAGATTGGCATTAAATTGATGAATTATTTTCAAGGTGCAGCGAAGGACGGGAACATGGCATCTGGCCGTGAAGTTGCAGATGCCATACCTTTCTATTCATCTGATTCCTCTTTCTCTGGCAACACAGCCTCACAGCAATATGTAGACATGTACGTAAACGCCATTCCTAAAGAACCCTATGACAGCACTGAGGAATGGAAATACAAAGGAGGGGGAGGCCACCCCAGGGACTATAGTGCCCCCACAGCTTCTTTCTCCTCTAAGGCCAAGGCAGCTAGGTCTTACTCCGCCTACGCCCCACCCCCTGAGGCACATGAACAACCTGCCACCCCTTTGTCATCCCGTGGGGGCGCGGGAGGGGTGCAAAGACGTGAAGAACAAGTTCATAGCAGGTCACTTTCTACAGGACTTCAGAACTTGATTGAGTCACTGCAGAGTGCTATTTATAAAGGTGAAGGAGAACAAGCTGGTATAGTTGCAAAGAGTCTTGCAATTAAGAGGGCCAATATAAAAATGGAACTTTACCAGTCTGGAGATAGTGGGAAATCAACTGAGAAAATGATCAGGTGGGTGTGGTGTTATCTTTTGTATGTATATATATATATATATATATATATATATATATATATATATATATATATATATATATATATGTGTGTTTGATTGAATTTTTTTTAAGTATGTATATGTAAAGATATGTCTGTACATATAGCAGTCACCTGCGTCTGTCGTTTTCATTGTTGCTGTCACTATACTTTTTCATTGTTATTATGATAAGTGGAAACCATTTTACCCTTAGCCTTCAAACATACAGAACTGATAAATATTCCTTAAAAGCATGTGAAGTTCAAAAATCAGCTTGATTGGACCATTTTTCCATAGGTTATGCTTTTTTTTAATTTTTTTATTTTTTGCATTTTTCAGAATTATTTAATCTCCCCTTTATAAAAAAAAACATATTTTGCTTTGAAACTTGCAGGACTGATTCATAAGATTGATATACTGACCAAGTTCCAAATTAGCTTGATCGGTTAATTTTGTTGAAATTGTGGTGTGTTTTGTATATAAATGAATTCTTAGCCATGTTCACAGTCACAGTTTTGAACTAATGAGATATGTGTAAGTGTTCTTTTGACATTTTCACATCTTAACAGTTGTTAGTATACTATATAAAAATAATGTTAGTATACTATATAAAAATAATGTTATTGTGTTTTGTGTAATAAAGTGTCAAAAATTGAAAAATTTCATTTCAGTGCAGTTTGCTAGACTCACTCCTTCTATCGTTATGTTCAGTCACTGAAGTGAGCAAACTGGACAATTCAAATTGTTCCATAGATATTTTTCCATCTCAACTATTTTGTTAGTTGATCACATTAAAAAGGTATAATATTGGTTATTGTGTTATGTAATAAAGTGTTGAAAATACAAATAAACTCATTTCATTACAGTTCTGTCCTGTTTACATATTAAGGTTTTCAAGGTGTGACTTTGAAGTTCCAAGGGCCTTAAGACCTTTGTTAGTCATAGTTTTTAAATAACTATGTTACCTGCATTGAAAATTTAAAAGTTGGTAATGATTATGCTGTTAAGCTTAAATAAAATTTAATATTGTATCAAAATTGAAGAAAACCCTATTTTCGGCACTTCCACCATAGTGACCATTTAGGAAAAAGCCTCTGATGAGTGCCGTTTCAGGAAGCTATCGCTAGTTCTCTCGCTCGTTATTGTGTCGTTGTTACCTTGGATATTTAATGACTGGTCAGACCAGTCGCTAACTCGAGTTTCATCGTACGCATGCGTAAGTAATGAAATAGAAAAGTTGCTTAGTTGCTTGTCTGTCATTTGTCTTTGTATCCAATATGGCGGTTACCTTTCTTGCTATCTGTACCACCAGACGGCAACATAGACTACGGCATTTTTATGATAGGCAGAATCTATTTGAATATACACACAATGATGCAATTTACAAGAGGTTGCGCATAGCTGTGACAAAAAGAGCAGCAAAAAGGTGGTGGAGATCCTTTACGACGACCTCAAAGCAGACGTTCTTATGCATTTCCAGCCGCCAAAAATTGGAGAGTTAGTGCTTTCGTGACACTTTTACGCATATGTTCCACTTCCGGCAGACTGTTTCAAGACTACGTTGAGTAATGAGAGAACTAACGACCGAACTTCCAGACTGAACTTAGTGATGAGTTTACGACTGCTTCGTGAAACACCCCTTAAGTTTTCTCGTTAGGGAGATAGTTCAGTAGTTAGTTGTTCTATCTCACGACTGCTTCTTGAAACTGGCCCCTGATTCTCAAACTCGCAGAAAAGATCCATATGACAAAAATACAGCTTGAGTTCAAAAACCAGTCTGATTGAACTCTTTTTCTTGAAGTTATACAGTTTTTTGTGAAATGTTAATTTTTGCGTATTGGCATTTTCAAGGTGTGGCTTTTAACTTTCGTGCATCTGAAGACTCACTGGTTACATTTTATGAATATCAGTGGTATATTTTTCTATATTTTTGATAATTATGCTGTTAAGCATTGTGAAATATTGTATCAGAATTGACAAAACATACATATTTTGTGCACTGCCACTACAAATGGAAATGTGTATTTATTATTATTTTGTAACTTACAAGAATGATGCTAAGAATCCACATACAGCTCAAATTGGCAAACCAGCTTGATTGGAGTATTCCTCCTCCTTGTTGTCTGTTCATTTGACAGATTTGCTGCCTTGTTATCTGTTGCCTGGCTTACTCTGAGATAAAACATTTTTTGTAACCAAATGGCTGGGTAATTTTAGGAAAAAACTGGAATGTTTTGAATCCAACCAATGAGTGATTTGGTGAAAAATGTCAGAAAATGATTCATTTTCTTGAGCCAGATAATATCGTGTAGCATTTCATCAAAATCTGCTGGGTAACAGGGAGTTTGGTACAAGTAGTATTGCTTGGACTTGTTTCTTTGGATGTATTTATGTTTTCATGTGTACCTCTTTTGTTATGACACAGATAATAACATTGCATATTTAACATTGAAACTTTTTATGATTTGATCTTTATTTTTTATTAGGCTTTTGACATAGTTAGTAATTGCTAGTAGTTGATTGCAAGTTTTATGATAAAAGTTTATTTTAAAATATTACATTAAAGTGTTCTATTAATCAAATTGTAATTGTTGCAGCCTGAAGGTGTATGTGGAAGACAAGAGTAATTCAGGTACCTCCATCATGCTGAAGGTCAGGCTGTCAATGACCATCAGAGATTTAAAACGGCATGTAAGTAGGAGAAACATGAGGACTGGAGACTTTGGAAACTTGTTGTGGGTTGTGTTAACTACTGGACTATTTTTTCCCATACATGGTCTCAATGGTTGCTAGGGAGCGCTTTTACTGAATGCCTTTTGAAAAAACTTTGCTTAAAATTGGAAAATTGGATGAGCATTGTCAGTAATGGCTAATGCAATATTTGTCTTACTAAGATTATTTAAGGATTATTTTATGGTTTTAGAATGGGAATCCTTTTGAAAAAATTACAGTTCATAGAATTCCTTGTTATATTGAAGGACAGGTTACGAGTATACTACTTTAATAAAATAACTGAAGATTACTTACAACATGTTTAATAACAAAAAAAAAACATAAATGTTGTTCCATGAGCGAGCATTGATTTGAAAACATTTTAGAGATTGATCATGAAATGCATGCCTATGACAAAACAGAGGACAGTGTGATATAAAAGAGATAAATGGTTACTTATGAAAAAGTCAATTTGGAACCAATTCTTACAGATGTTCCTGGAACACCAATTCCCCCCAGAAGTGCAAAGATGGATAATTGGCAAGAGCCGTGCCAAAGATGATGACCACCTGAATAAATTCAAGCAGCTGATCCATGATGGCTCTCCAGTGTACCTGTACCTGATGTCTGCCAAGTCTGTAGGTCTGCCAGGAAGACAGGTGTATGAGAGAGAACATAACATGGGACAGGCAGGTAGGTCTGCCAGGAAGACAGGTGTATGAGAGAGAACATAACATGGGACAGGCAGGTAGGTCTGCCAGGAAGACAGGTGTATGAGAGAGAACATAACATGGGACATGGGATGGGACTGCTTATCAGTATCTTGGCATGAAATCTTCCTGTACCTAGATCAAATTTTTCCCAGAGGGGGTCTTTTCTTGACAAAAAGGGTGGTTTGTTCAAACTTCCAAATCACACACCTACGAACCTTGTATTTCCATTTATATAAGAATAAGTGTTCCTACATTTACCAAATTGAAAGTGTGCTTCATATCCGTCATTTGAGTGGCATATATAGGTAAGAAACAGCCCAGGTTTAGACTGGTGCAGTCGGTACCATGGGCATAGAAATGCTCACTGAATTGTTGCTAGAGCCAGTGGGAGTAGTGTGTTTCAGCTACAGTCCGAGGCTTAAAGTACATTTATATCAAAGGCAGCTTTTCTGAAATCAGGTCTGTATAACAGTATTTGTAGGTATGACACAGAAGTTTTATCTATTTTGTCTTGAAAACTGTATTTTGTATTTAGTGTAAATTGTTATGTTTTGTTGGTACTGACCATGTTTTGTTTCATGATTGTAGACCTTATACCAGTAGACGTGTGTGATGAGCCTGGTAGGTCATCATTCTGTAATAGGGAGGAGAATTATTTTCAAACCCATTATTAGGGGCAGATCCAGAGATCTTTTCTGACAGTCTTCCAAATTCTCTTTGTTGATCCATCCTCCATTTTTGACCATCTTCCAACAGAAAAAATTAGATACCCATCAATGTAAACTTGAGAAATTCTTAACCTCTTCTGGAATACCCAGAAGACGGCCTTCATCTGCCCCTTACTATAATGTAAAAATAACTGAAGTCAACTGTTTTGGTGTTCATTTTTATCCCAGATTAGCTTTAGCATGGAGCTTTTTTCTTCCTTGTTGCTTTCTTGTGGCAGCTACAGGCGTTATCAGTAATTAAATTTGGACGTGGTTCAAGAACACTCAAGATTAAGTCTGCTGCACTCCTTGTCTTATGGCTTTTGATACAAGAGCAAATCAAGGGAAATAAAAAAGTCTAATAAAAAAGTTTACATATATTATCAAATTTATAAAATATTTAATCCCTGAATATAATTTAATCTGTTGCTTTGCCTATCCTGTCTCAGAATATGATAACCTACAGATTTATTTACAAATTTGGAAGCCATATGTGCATCAATTAACAATTCAAAGAATCCTTAAAATGCATATTCCCTAGTAAGGATGGTTTCTTTGGGGTGGGGGTATACTTATCAGGATTTTTATTGATGAAAAGGGTATAGTTTTACTCAAAGTTTTCATATCTCATACTGGCTAGATGTTTGATGGTGGCTCATTTCTTTGTGCTAAATTTTTGAGACAGCAGTAATGAACAAATGCTTGATAATGTGATGATACATTATTTGCTTTCAGAAGAGTAGAAGGGATATTGTTAATTGATTAATTGATGATGTTAATCTCGCTGCCAATAACTCCTCTGAAGATTTACATTTCAAATCCACTTGCAGTAGGCTAAAATGCTTGTTAAAATCAGAACCAATTGTTGCTCTTTAATTGATAAATTTGATACAATTGATGATTTGTTCAAATTGTACTAGCAAGTAGCTTGTTTTGCTGAAGGTGCGTTTAACCATATTTACATATAGCTGCTTTTCTATGATTGCATCAACATTAAAAAAGATATTTGTATGAGTATGTAGTAATTAGAAATATAAATCGTTGAGTAGAGAACCATGAAAAATGTGTAATAAAATAGATATATCTTCTACAGTGCACCTTCATGTATATTTTCAGCAGTTGCTGCACCAACAACACCACCACATCCTGCCTCACAGCAGAGAGCTGCTGCTCCAGGTACAGTACCAAAGTGTCAGGGCTAGTTAGGTTTATGATACAACTCAAATAACATCTGCATTTGAATAACTAAGTTAAAACTAGTAATTTTATCCTTTGCCAGTCATCATGCCATATGTACTTTGTATGTACATTTATGTTATAAAACTAATGGTAGAGTAGAGAGCCAGGAAAATTAAACCTGTACACATTTTAGTGCTCAGTAAAGAATAATTGTTATTGCTGTTATATAAATTCACAACTGTTGTATTCATAACAGGGGAAGGGAACCCCAATTCTGGAGATCTATTTGCCTTGGAAATTGCATAATTTAGTTTCAAAAAGATCTTGTAAGTTTTGTAAACGGTTTGGGTATATTTTCTTTTTCTTGGAGATGTTATTGTTAAATTATTTTTAGCTCATAAATAGGTCTAACTTAGGATTTGGTTATTGTTATCATTATTAAATAATACTTGCTAGTTATGACATGATTCATCTTTGTCTCAGGTCATCAAAATGTTCCTGAACCAAGGAGACCTTCAGGTTCAGAAGAAACTTTGAGACCACCACAGCAACAACAGCAACAGAGACTGCAACAGTTGCCACAGCAACAACAGAGACAGCAACAGTTGCCACAGCAACAACAGAGACAGCAACAGTTGCCACAGCAACAACAACAACCAGTGGATACCGCGGAGGTTTGAAGTCCTATACTTATTAAAGTAACAAAGTAGAATATAACTAAGTGTAACATGAAGATACTGTTATATTGCTATTTAAGAACAGTATGGGAGCACTGTCTGAAGTAGAAATGAATTAAAAGTACTTGTGGTACAATTACCATAATTACCTTTCATGTAGATTTTTCAGTATAATAATAATGAGATGAAACTTTATTTATGTTAAATAAAACTTTTTATGCACTGTGTAGGGTTGGTCCTGCCCACAGTGCACCTATGTCAACTTACCACTGCGGCCTGGCTGTGCCATGTGTGCCGCTGACCGCCCTGCTGACTACAGGGAACCAGACAACTATGTACCAACAGATGAGGAGCTGCAGATGATGGCTCAACAACAAGAACTGGATAGGCAAGCTTTGGAGGTAGGGAAGCCTGGATGTTATCACATATGTGAAATAATAGATGGCTGGAGAGGGCTTTGTGCAAGTGTATACTTGATTGTGTGTCTGTGTGCATGCTTGCAGTTTGTGCCTGTGTGTATTTGAGTGTGTATGTGTGTGTGTGTGTGTGTGTGCATTCTTGTAGAGAGAGAGAACTTGCTGATAGACAACAAGGATGCCTGGGCTGGCGCACTCCAGTGTGCATCCCTCAACCACCAGTTAATACCTGAAAGTGCACCAATTAATTAATTGCCAGTAGTTCTCAAAATGCATACAGATCTGTCATTTTTTACCTCATTTCCTGTTTAGTGCATAATTCCCATTATAATGTGAGTAATAGAATGTTGCTTTGCATATCGTTTCATTGTGTTTTGCATTTGTGCTCAAGTGTGTTTTCTATTTAAGTTATTTACTAATAGATAGGTTTCCATTTAGAGTGTCTTTATTTTAGTTCTGTTTCCTATTTTTTACACAATATGATTACTTACAAAAGTGAGCTTCTATTTTAAGCCTGAGCTTGGTATATTCCATGTTCTTGTAATGTGTGTTGTTCATATAGAGCATTTCTACAAATCATTTGGTTCTGGCATGTTTGGCACATCTTTGTTCCACTTGGTCCTCTTTCTCTCTCACTCCTCATTTGTCATGTTTTTCAGGCTGATAGACAAATGAGGAGACCATATGAGGATGAGGACCCAGTGGAACTTTTTGCCGTGCCCGCGGGTCAGCTGGAAATGCTACTCCAGGAGAGTCAGAACCAAACTGCCCGGACCACCCAGGCTGTCCAGCCCACACCTGATGAAGATGTTGTAGACTAAATTGCTCCAGAACTGAAAGATCAGGCTTGATGCATTAAGCCAAAAAAATATATTGTTTTGTCATAATTTTTATTTAGTTTTAACTTGATACTTTTGGGTTTTGACATTCGGAAGGTAAATTGCAGCAAATTGATATCAAAGAAATAAATGTATCTATGCCATTCTGTCCAGAATGCTGCAGAACTATTTCTGGAGTGAGGAACTGCTTTAACTTGTGTGTGAATCCAATTTACAATATAATATTTGGCACATCTAGTCACATTTAGCCACCTACACTGTAGTTTAATCACAGTAATACAAGAACTTGGAAGTGCTCCAACATGAGGCATCTGATGAGATATTGCTGAATTAATATATGTGAGATGCTTTTTTAGAAAAATGATGATATTAATTTCAGTCAATGTTGGCTTGTAAATTGAACATTTGCTTTGTCAGTATATTGTGCCATTAGTTGTGGTTGATTGTTTAACCACACGCAGTGTACCTAACATAATTGTATGAGCACCATGCATACAGGGGGAACAGCAGTAACAGAAGTCTAAATGCTGGCTTTTTGCTACATTATATACTCATTTAAGAAAATTTGAAACAAGGATTAGGATAAGAAGAGAATAACCAATAGAGTTTCTTATGTTAATAGCTATGTAAAATTCACTGATGTTTACAAGCCAAAATTTTGTCTGTTGACAGTCAAACTTTATCAGGAAAATGAGGGCTGTGATAGGTATTATACCCTGCCACCCCTTAAGTGTGGTATCTAGTCAGTCCCCCCCCCCCAGAGGAGTGGAAGATAGAGGTGGGGTAACTCAGTCTGGTTGAGTGTTTTGCCTTTCTTGTCACCTTCCTTAAATGCCCACTCCAAATATTAGTGAATTTTCTAAAACTATTGACAAAAGAAACTTTAGTGGTCATTTCAAACATATAGCTAATGAAACTGTTTAATAAGAAGAAAATATTTTTTTAATTGTACAAATAATCCTATACACCAAGATGCTCTTTTCATTTTATAAATGAGCCAGAGTGTTTTTGTGCATGTGGTATAGCTTTATGTATGTTAATAAGTTTAAGAGAAGATGAAGATGCACATAACAGGATAACATATGTTCTGCTTTGAACCTTTTGAATAATTGCAGGTTTTTAAAAAATGTAATTTGATTATAAAATACTTTTTCACTTTTCATACCTGTAGCAGACCAAACTTGTCATGGTGTTCATTTTCAAATTTGTGGTCCATTTGATATAATTAAAAAGCTTCCTATGAAAGTTATTCATCTGCATCTAAATGACTGATAGCCAATTTAGAAGTTACAGGTGCCAAGCCAGTGTTACATTCTATTTCATGCTTATTTGAGAAAAGACATGTCTTTCACATGGGAAATGCACTGCATGTATAATGTCTATAGTTAACATATAAATCTGAGTTTCTTTAAGATTAACAGTTGTGCAATTTGTTTGCAGTATTAAATTAGTAGTTTTGGGATATGTTTCAGTGCATGGGATAGGTTTTGCTCGTGCTTCATGTAGACTGACATGAAAACATTGATATTATTCTGCTGTTTCATTACATATTTTATGCCCTTTGAGTTTGAACTGTGCTTAAAATTATGTAATTTTGTTGCAGCTTTCAATAAACATTCTACCACCCACATTTGCAAATAAGATCATGTAAGATGCACAGGCACAGATTCCCAGTATTCAATGTACAGTTTACTTCTAGAAATCATAAAATGTAATTTTGCTGCTGCAAACTTTTATCAATGTATCAATAAGATCTAACTGTAAGAGGGGTATCACGAAACTTGGTACCATTTCTTACATTTGAACTGAGCATGGATGGAGCGTGGATTCCCAGTAGCGCATACCATTCAAATACAATTACCAAGGGATTAACTGAATTAATCACTGGATCAGCCATAAAATGGCTTCAAATAGACCTTCTCTTCACATTTTCATCGTAAATAATTTGACCTACTTGTCTTACCCATTTACATACAGCATAGAACTTTTCTAAGCAGAAAAATCTGTTCAAATATTTTTTCGGGTAATATGAAACTATGTCTTTTGGTATTTCTCCAAGTTATACTATTTGAAACTATATAGTGGCATTTGGTTAGCTTAAGTGACAGAAAAATTGACTTCAGATGCATTTTTAAACCCCTTTGGAAATAAATTTGTCTGCAGTAAAAATCAAGTGTTACATCATTCAGTTCATACCTATTTAATAGTAATCACAGAAAATAAGCATATATTGCTTGATATGTTTTCTAGTACATAAATAATTACACGTGGTTGAAATTGTGTTGAAATATGTAGAAATATAGCACATAACTCCAGACTGACTGTAAAGTGATGTGCATGCCCCTGCATGTGACAGTTGTTTGTATACATAAGATAATTGAAAATAACTTGGAAACTAAAGCCCAAAACATTGTGTGCATCACATTTTTATTAAAAATAGATACATGTTCAAGGAAAATAACCTATATTTTTATTGATCCCAATACTGATAGAATAGTACATGAAGGAAGGGTACATGTAGTTTAATGTAAGCAAATATTTGAGAGTTTCAATCTTAGAGTAGCAGTTCATCCCAGTTTTTTGAAGATCTGATGCTTACTTAAATTGCTAATATTTGTTCAAATTATTTTGCTCAGTATCAAGAAAGAAGACGGCGTCAAGAAGGGCAGCAGAGATTGGAGAACTACCAGCAGTTGTTACATGCAGCAGACCAGTCTCTGGTGGTGAACACAGAGGACTTCACCTGTCCTATCTGCTTTGATGACATAGCACCTGGAGATGGCGTCGTACTCAGGGACTGTCTGCATATGTTCTGCAAGTAAGAATGATGTGCTCTTTTTTAAATTTAATTTAAAACTTTTTATTTGAAGAAACTTCAGGAATTCTGATGGTGAATTTTCTTTTATTTTTCATCTTCTTTATTTGTTTTAACAAATTAAAATTTATTTTGTTGGGAGGTTGCAGTCTCTGTCCAAAAGTGGCCAGTGCTATATATATATATATATATCTATTTTTGTGTAAGTCTAAGAGTAGATGTAGTTTGTAGTATAGATGTAGTAGTTAGGAATGGAAATGGTACTGGATTAGAGTATTGACTTGCACTCTATTGAATTCTATCTAAAGTTTATGAAAGAAATGGTGGAGTAGATTAAGATGTATCTGGTTTGTATTTCTAGGAGCTGTTTGAAGGCTGCAGTTACTTACAGCGAGGAAGCAGCAGTAAAGTGCCCGTATCAGGATGACAACTATACGTGTCCTTCCTTTCTGCAAGATATGGAAATAAAGGCAGTAAGTAAAATATTTATCCGTCTTAAATAAATCGTTTGTAGTGGGTAATGAAAATTGAGCAAGACAAAATCAGTGTAAATGACATTCCTTCCTAGTGGCATATATATATATATATATATATATATATATATATATATATATATATATATATATATAATATATAATGTGAATAATATAATAATGCGAATAATAAAAATATATAATAATGATGTAAAATAACATATATGTTATTTTACATCATTTAAAGGGAGTGTACATGGAGCTTTGCCATGAAAAATAATGCAATCACCAGATTTTTCTAGTTTCGCTTACAGTTTGTTCTTCCAACCATCACTTTTGTGAAATATTTGACACTCATAATTACCCTTTAAAAGGATAAAGTTAAAATTTTTAAACAAATTTTTTTACTCAAGTACTGCTACATAAAACCATTTCTTGTTGAACTTATCTGCGGACAAGTAATGTTTATTGTCCATTTTAAGCAGATAAATGCCATGGATTAATGTTACCAAAAATAACCCCCACAATATTGCTGTGTCTTGTTATTAGTGATTCTGATTCAGTTATATTTCTGTCAATTATTCCATGTCATCCCCAACATTACACATCCACTTCTGGCTGAGATGAACCATATTGGCTTCATGCATGTTTGTTTTTCAGCTTGTTTCCAATGAAGTCTTCCAGAAATACTTGCAGCTGAGTCTGTCCCAGGCTGAGTCCCAGGCTGTGAATAGTTACCACTGTAAGACAGCAGACTGCAGGGGCTGGTGTATATATGAGGATGAGGTAGGTCGGACACATCCAATTTATTAATTTATTCTGTTGTTCAGATTTTGACCACTAACTTTTACAGTGTTATTGTTGTATTTGAAATAAATTGCTACTAGACTAAGTCATATGTTGTTTCATCATGCAAATACACAGTCATGTTTTCAGTTTTCAGGTTTTGTGATTCAGTTCACTCTTAATTGTTTTCTCTTCTCTAACAAACTAGGTAAATTTCTTTGACTGTCCAGTTTGTGGCAAGAAGAACTGCCTGACATGTAAGGCAATCCATGAAGGCATCAACTGTAAGCAGTACCAGGAAGACCTGAAGATCAGAGCAGGAAATGACAAGGCTGCCAAGCAGACCAATGACATGTTAGAGGTAACACTGGCAAGGGAACAGCTGGTTGGAGGGATGTGGGGGTGCCCTGTTTTAATACAAATTGAAAGAAAGGGCCGTTCACATTTCAACATATACCTGATATACTGTAAAACTGAAGCACTTGAGGCCAGACCATGTCCTTTCCTAATGAAGTAAATTTTTCTTACATCCACATGCATGTTTTTCCTACAAAATATAGAACATGAGAATTCCACTTACAGTGGTTTGCCTTATCCTCTGTAATATGTTGTTTCTTGCTACCATGTAGTAGGAATCATCATAGGTAGACTTCATCAAGGTGGGGAGGGGGGGGATGTCAGGTTACACCGAATCTTATAAAGTGTTTTTGTTTGTAACAGCCAAAATATGCACTGTTCCTGGATTTGCTGTAGTATTAGTCTGTTCTGCTTTTCTAGAAACTGATCAGAGATGGAGATGCCATGCGATGTCCACATTGTAGGGTCATAGTGCAGAAGAAGGATGGATGTGATTGGATAAAATGCAGTTTTTGTAAAACAGAAATTTGCTGGGTCACAAGAGGACCCAGATGGGGACCTGCAGTAGGTTTTTATTTTATAAATTTATTGTTTTCATTCAGTATTTTAGCTTAAATTATGAATTAATACAGTAAATGTTTGCAGAGTTCATTTTCATCCAAGCACATAGCATTAATGGCACAAGATTTCTAAATATCTTAAAACTTTCAGCTATCATTTATTCTGTTTCTTTGAATTTCTTCCTTTTAGGAATATATTTGTGTCATCTTAGTTGTAGTTAAGTGATGAAGAGACTATTTGAGATAAGATAAATATCTATATGTAAGTGGAGGTATGCATGATTAAAAATTATGTCAGCGATTTTCAGAAATTTTCCAAATTATGACTATTTCAGGGCCCGGGTGACATCAGTGGAGGTTGCATGTGTCGTGTGAATGCACAGAGGTGTCATGACAACTGTCAAAACTGTCACTAGATGGCAGCAACTTCCACATAAACTGGTGATATGGCAGAAGTGCTACCTTCAGATAGTACATACAGGTTGAACCATTAATGTCTGGTGAACAGAAATACTAATCACAACTTATTTTATGTCAGAAATTTAAATTGTTTATAAATATGTTGTTTTAGACAATAGATAGGTTGTTTGCTGTTGCCAAGTATACTTGTTTCAGGTGCTATTATGTGTCCTCATTCACAGTTTGTGATACAATAATATGTCAGATATTAAAATAAAATATTTTAAATCCAGCAACTTACATGTACAGTAGTGAGTACTCTTCATGTATAATAATAATATTGATAATTATAATACAATTTATCTCTAGGCTTAAGTCCAAATTTGTTCAGTAGACTTTACAATGCAATGAATAAATAACAAAAAGGGTAAGAAAAGTAAAAGAAAAGAAATATTGAATAAAACTGGAAAAATTGGTTAAAACATAATGTAGAAATTCAAAATGTTACTTCATCACTCACATTGAAAAGTCATTTATAAAAATCTATTTATAATTTTTCTGAAGGTATGTCTTGAGTTCAGTTTAAAAGTAAATGGACTAAATTTGGTCCCCTTTCTATATTGGCCTTACTTTTTATTGATATCTTTTAAATGCTAAGACTTGATATGAGATTTGTAATTTAAGGTAACACAAAATATGAGTACAAAAACTGACGGTATCATTGATATCTATCATACAATCCCTACATTTGAATTTCATTTCAGTACTTTGATAGACCTATAATTTTTTCAGACAAAATGTTATCATGACACAATAAAAAATAGTTTATTTCAATAAAAATAACTATAAATCCTCCTCTCTCTCTCTCTTTCTCTCTCTCTCTCTCTCTCTCTCTCTCTCTCACACACACACACACACACACACACACACACACACACTGTTATCTGATACGTCAATATTATATCTGGAACTGATCTTTAAAGGAAACAAGACATTCAAAATGTAGTATTTATTGCCTCATTCTTTTCAGGTTTTATTATGGATTACATAGTGTGTGAGAAAATGAATTTAATGTTGTGCTTTGTTATATGTAAAACAGATATAAACTCCATTGTGAAAACCAGGTGCTTTGTAAAATAAGTAACTGGTTTGCTGTGTATAAAATGATATTTAGCTTCCAATTATGTACATACAGTTAATTGTGCATCTCACTACCCTGTTGATAAACTGTGAAAGCAAAGGTTTTTTTTTTCTTAAAATTCACTACTATCATTTGATAATTTGATTTTAGTCATTTAAAAGAGTGTTTTAGATATGAAAATTAGTATGTGAAGATTTTAGTTGTGCATGGAAATTGTTCAATGGAATAACATGTTTTTTTACAACAGTCCTGGTGAATGTAACAGATTTTAATGTGAATGCTGAAGAAATAATAAAATAAAGATGTGAGCAGACTCAAGTTGTAACAGCCAGGTGTAGTAATTGTTCATTGTCATCTTGTCCAGCGCTGTCATTCTGATAAGATTTATTTAGAAGACTTATTTATGTATTTATTTATTTTTTGGTATAGAAGGTAGCTATAGTTGTATCTCCTGTAATGTTTCAGGTGTCTTTTCTGTCTTCAGTCTTACAACAAATACTTTTAATGCATATGCTGAAATTCAGAATGTATTTATCCAGCTATACCAAGTACCAGAATCCTGAGCATACAACATTTTAAGTTGTATTTGTGATGATAACTAGAGCATTATAGTGCTCATAATCCTTACAAAATAAAGAGCAGTTACTTGAAATCAGTGGCTGTGCTGTGTAACTTGCATAGCTACATGCAGAATGCAGTTCATACTTTATTATTTTTCATCATCATTGAATTTTGCTGTATTGAAATATCTGGAAAGTAAAAACTCTCTAACTCTCTTTTGTTTTAAACTTGCAGAAGTCTTTTCCTACACAATCTACAGGGTTTCATTGATCATCCAGTGACACGGAAGGGGTCATGACTGTGTAGTAATAATGAAACCAATTATTATTGAGTTCCAACTTAAAAGTTGGATAGTACGATGATAATATTTAAATTGGTTTGATTCCAAAAAAAGTAAAAGATATTAGAATACATTAAATTTTAAGAACTTGGATAAATTTTAGTTTATTAAAAAAAGATATGGTCCTGTTGGTCTCTTTCTTTGCGTTTATCTATTTTTACCACATTCATTGAGTACAACATGTACATGTATTCTCCCTCATTTTTCACACTTCCTTTCTTTTCTGTGTGACACTATCATGAATGACACTGGTCTGCACACAAATGAGGTTTATCCCTGCAATAATGAGACAGAAACAACTTTGGTCTTATCATGTTGCTGATGCTGCTGCCATTTCACCCAAAGGGGAAGGATGATGATGATGATGAATTAAGGAACATTACGTTCTTGATGTCACAAATTATGCTCAGTACAGGGGCGGATCCAGAGATATTTTCTGACAGTCTTCCAAATTATCTTCGTTGATCCATCATCCATTTTTGACCGTCTTCCGACAGAAAACATTAGATGGCTGACAATGTAAACTTGAAAATCTGACCGTCTTCCAGAAGACCCAGAAGACGGCCTATATCCGCCCCTGCAGTATGTACATACATTTACACTGCATGAAATAAAATCAAACTTTTTTGGTTATTTTTTTTTTTCTATTTCATGCATTATGAAGTTATCTTTTCTTCTTGTGTATTTTATTTATTTATTTATTTTTCGATTTCTCTTAACCCAAGACAGAATAGTGGGGAATAATTCTGCAGGCCTGATGCTGCATAATGGAAAGGAATGGAAATTTTCTAAAAATAAAAAAATAAAACTTACACAAGTTTGAATTTTGTAGAATAGTTTGTCTCTCTTTAATCTAAACTTGACTTATACATTGCTTCAAGCTTGCTGCAGTCCATTAGTGAAATTCCCAGAATAAAATGTTTTATGTTGTTCAAGAAAATAAGTGTTGCAGACATAACCATCTATGACCAACTCCGTTCACCATATCCATATCACTGTTGTCGAGATGGACAACTTTTTNTCACTTTCATAGTTCTAAATACGCACATTATCATGGATTGGGGAAATATGCTATTTTATCTCAGTGATTTAAATCTGCTCGTTTATTTCTATCACAGGTAGACAAACCTGTTGTGGTTGAAAAGAATTTCACTTTTAAGTGAGTTTTAAACGAGGAAGAATGACTCGTATGAAAAACTGCTGCCAGCTGTTAAGAACTAAAAGCATATTAAAACCAAGTTTTCAGCTCACTTTAGCGTCACCGAATGAAGTTGAACAACCAAGCCAAATTAGAATTGCGAGAAGAATATACATGAAAAGTTTGAAATTTCATATTCCGTCAATCAGATACACTTGATTGACGGCTGTATAATCAGACGTCAATCACAGTCGTCTCGCAATGGAACTTTTACCTCCCGTGATTGATATGTGTCAATCAAAGCCGTCAATTTTGACAGCTTGATTGACGGTTAGTTAAACAAACGTCAATCACGATCATCCTGCGAAGGAGATTTTACCTCCTATGATTGAGAGGTGCCAATCAAAGCTATTGAAAGTGGATGGCTTGATTGGCAGTTATATAAACAAACGTCAATCATCACACTGATGAACAAGTATAGCAGTAGAATAGTGAAAACGTCGAGAGAAAGCGCAATATCCCCAAATTAATCAATATGATTGGGAGAAGGAATATCGTTTTACTTTTTTAAAAATTCAAACATTTTCATTCGCTGTCACTTTGCGACTCAGCTGCTTGAGTTATGTGATGAGAGGGTTTTAAATTTTTATTTGCACTTATATATTGCTATAACTTCAACCTTTTGGATGCTATTGTTTTAATAAACTCATTTCATGATTTTAAATATATCGCATTCCGTTTCAGTGTGTACATCACTTCAGGGGTTTATGTTCCCCGGAGGAAGGTGAACGACACACGTGAAATGCTGAACCATATCAGTGCCGAGACGACTGCCGAAGTGTTAGTTGTATTGTATGTCTTGATGATGCCTACTGCACAATATCTAAACAGAAATATTAATAATCCGAAAGAGATTGCGAAAAAATCGCTAGAATGCGCGAGAAAAGTAAAAATTGGCACAAAATGTCAAACTGGGCCTAAAGTACTGTCAGTCTGCTTTAATAAATTGCCAATCGTCCCCAGCGCAGCAGTTAATCAATGACTAAATAGTGATACATGTGTATGTGTACGCAATTTGCTTCTCGAGATTTTGATTTAAATGACTTCACGTGAAAATGGTGCATATTTGTTTAACGCTGTCTGCGCCACATACTTATGACGTACTACGGTCGCGTATTTAATGATTAGTTGTTTTTTTTTTTTTTAGTAGGTTATTGGCTTACTGATGTGCTTACGTATTATTTATATGTATGTAATATTTTTGCTTAGCGCCGAACAGCATAACTCTAGTGACAAGATCTAAGTTAGCTACTGTTCTGAATTACAAATTGTTTGACTGAAAAACTAGTCTAGTCCATCCACTGAAGAAAGAGTTGCGTTGTTAATTTACAAACTTGAAGAGACGTGTACCTGCCTAGAAATTGAATCGCTTGTACTGTTATCAGTTAAAACTGTTCTAAGAAGACGTTAAATTTAACTTTTTCTTATTTAATCTTTAAATTTGAGAGGGACTATCAAAAATCCAACAAAAATCCTAACTTAAAAAAGAATGGACTAACTGTGAATGTCGGAATGGATTCATTAACTATCGCGAAGTATGGGGGAATCGTCGTTTACCCGAGGAAAATCGGATTTTTGGCCAAAACGAACAGTAATAGGGCCTATCCTTTTAAGCCTTTCTAATGAATTGGTGGAGTATATTCGCAATAATGGTCCATTACTTATCAAAATTGCCCTCTATTCATCCCCGATTCTTGACAGATTGATGATCACGGAAACCAAGTTTGGGTCTTAAGTGTTAGAGAAGAGCATGGACAAAACTGGCCAGAAAATTATTTTCATGTGAAGAGATACCAGGGCACACTAAAACTTGGCTAAATAACGTACTCAGCTACTGAGACCCCCCCCCCCCCCCCGCCCCATATACATAGAAGTAGCTCTGAACTTCACGGTATTCGAGGAATTGCTGCGTTCCTCAGCAGTGCCAAATAAAACGCTAGAGGTGTCACTTGTAGTAGTGCTAGGCCACTTAAGTCTGTTGTACAGGGCGATAAAAATACACCGAAAAATCATGTAGGATGCAAATTATGTACACAATTCCGATCGAGAAGAATCAAAAGTGGATTTTTTTGCAAGAACAAATGATCAGGCATAACCGGAAATAAATACAGTCACAAAAGTATAGAAAATAAAATATCTTGCTTTGTTTATTTCACAAGATGACAAGTGTGTGCAATAACTTGATGGTAACGTAGTTAATTCGACACAATTGCATCTTGTCTTCTCTAGCACAATCTCACTCGACAGTTTTTCTGTGTGTGTGTGTGGGGGGGGGGGTGTTGCTCATTCGTTATACTAATGAAATCATGCTCAGTCTTATTACTTGATATCGAGTGTGGTGGCTGAATTCCGATTGTTTCTTTTTTTTCATTATGATTTCAGCAAACCCAAATCCTCTTCCCGGGATAGGCTTCCAATGCGCCTGATTATATCACAAAGCCTGATCTTCAAGTGGAGGCTTCTGTCTGGAAAGGTGGTGTCTATTATTATGTAAATCAGGTAAGCATTTTGGTGATAGGTGTTCAGATAGGACCAAGGTCAGCAGAAGATGTAGGAGAAATAAGTCTCATAGAATGTTGCTACAAATTCCACATCTCGGCCAAATATTTTGCACTGAAAACAGCGGCAATATGTTGTGAGTACTGTAGATTATAAATGTGAGATAACATTGCTGTTTGCCTTGTCGATACTTTCCCAAAATGATGTTCTAAAGGGGAAACCACCATATTCATGGCGGCATTCGGCTGACTTGAACGATACTTTCCATCTAAAATGCAAAATTAGCTTTAAATAGTTGAAATAGTTCATTATTTTATATTTTCCAGAGGGACGCTTATGCCAAAAAAAGAAGCAAAAGTAGAGGTTTCCAGAAGTCCAATGTTCCAAACAAGTCTTCCAACTTAATGAGACGACAAGGCAGGTAATTACCTTCGCTGCTCCAAATGGACACCCCTCACCCAAACCCAATATAGAGGTGCAAATGAAGTCACAGGCATTCTCTTGAAAATATTTAGTGCACAAATTGCAAACTATGTTTGATTATTTTAGGGTCCCACACGAAGAAGTTTCACTCTCCTGGAACCACGAACAATAAAATATATTTCATCGTCTAAACCCAAAAAGGAACATATGTTTCTGTCACAAATGCAAACCGTCCAGCTGTGGAACGTTTTACTCACTTTGAAAATTCAAGACTGGCTTTGATCTTTAATTTACCCCCTACAAGTATAACATAAGAATTATGATCGTCTTCTGTACAGAGCAGTTGTTTTTAGCGACTTTAATTTGCTTGTCACTGAATATTATAAAACTGGGGGTAGCCTAAATACACCCTCCTGGCAGTAAAACAAACATCTTAATTTTATTAAAAATAAAATATTTTCCATGCATGGTCCAAATATTATATTAGAAATTCCAAGCTATACATGGAATCACAATATATTTTTCAATCAGCAACAGAAAACCCTTTTCCTATTGCACCAAGTACTTGGGCAAGATGAAACTTTCTGAAAAATTTTCCGGGGAACATACGTTACGTAGTCCTAGCAATGATGAAAAGTCCCTTGGGTTACAGTTTAAATATTTATAAAAACATCCTTGCGTCATATATAATTTACCATGACTGAATTACTACAAAATATATCGGAACGCAATATAAAACTTAGAATTATATGTCCCGGAACATACGTTACAGGAAATCTTTGCTCCTTAAATAATGTATAGACATTGTAGGTTTTTTGTTCTATACACATAATATTATATGTAATTAAAAATAAATATAACTTCGAATTCATTCAGTTTTATTTTCTGATACTTTTGCATGTAAAATGCACCTCTATATTGGACCTGGGTGCCCCCACCCCACACCCCTCCCGACAAACACCTATCTCTCTCTCTCTCAGTTGTTTAATGAACGAAACGAAGCAAAACTGAGCTGCTTTTTTAATGTCGGATGATGTTCTTGTATAACGGTCTGCCATGATTAAAGAAATAGAAATGTCGTTGTAAAATGCATGTGTTCTTTCATTGAATATTTTCGTATGATAAGGTGAGCCGTGATTTGTTTTATACAAAACAATTAGTACCAAAACGCGTTGCTGTAATGTTAAAAACTGGGATCGTTATTTCAATGTAAATTTCTTCGTTTATTTTCAGGGACTTTTTCCAACCATTTGCGAGCAGATGAATACATCGTCCATCATTTGACGGCGACTGCGTCTCGCATGCCGAAGTTTGTCCTCTAGTCAATTTGCAGGGTTGACATTTAATGTGAAATGTAATGTTTGGTTTGGGTAAAATAATATGCTGCATCAAAACGTGTGCCAAATGAAAATTTGCAGATTACGAGCATTTTATCCATGGAACATCTAATCAGAAAAAAATAATAAATGAATAAAATTGTCACTAATGGTCAACCCTGCATGTCATCGTATTAATGTTCACGTTAGTCTCTCTGCCCTCAGTAGCGTTTTCATTGTTATTTGTGTATGCGTTTGAACCGAGTAGGGTGTCCAGTTCTCTAACTTAAATGGGATCAAAACTTGGTACTCTCCTTTAGCAAAAATAAAGTCTGCGAAAAAGGTCCCTTGTTTAGTAATGTGTAGAAACGAAAATGATGAAGTGAATCTCGTAAAGTGGTCGCTATATGATGTTTGGGTACGACTAGATTTCTATTTGACAAAGTGTGGCGTGTAGGCAATGCTGCTATTAGGCAATATGGAGTGGTATCACTCTTCATTTTGATGAAGTTAACTTTTGGGTGAAAAAACGTTGGGTGAAACATTACGTAAAATGCATCTGTATAGAAAAATATTCACGATGTAGTTATATAGAAACAATACTTATATCTACAATAAATTGATAACAACACAATCAAAATTATAACACTTCACAAATTAAACTATTATAAAACTGACAGAATGTAGTATTGCCCACACGCATTGAAAAGACATGTAGTGTTACTTCACAAGAATAAACTTCCTCTGGTTCTCGGTGTACTGATATTGTCCGATCAGTGACGGACCCATATTTTCAATGCTGGGAGGGGGTGAAAAACTTTTTTTTAGAAAATAAAACCAGGTGAAGTATAACGATTCCCCCTAAATTAAATGCATTTTTTTACTGTAGGATGTTGCTTACATGATAAAAAAAGTAAATATCGTAAGTAGACATTCTATCCAAAGTACATTCTTCGATAGGGTTGAAATTTTCGTGACAAAATTTTGACCAAATTGACCTATTGAAGGTTGGTCGTGCATCTAGTATTAACATATGTCAGTACTGAACATCATGTTGGTGAAGTTATTATTGTCTCCTGATCATTGAACACCAGAGACCAGAGTTGAGTTTATCGTCATTTGTCGAATCAATTGTTTTGTGTAGATAGATTTTGCGTAATCTTTCTAGTTTTGATTGCACATTATTTTTTACAATGAATATGGCGGGATACACATGTTAACGGACTGTGTCGTCATGCCGTTTTTGATTCGCACACTGTGGAAAGTAGTGTTCACTTAAAATTGTGTCCAGATTTAAGTTTTAGATTTAATGTGAAGAAAACAAGTTGATGCAGGCCAAAAGCTGCACATTTCGATAAGCAAAACGACCATAGATCTTACAAAAATGGCTTCTTTTTGGGCTGTCCTTTTGTTTTGTGTGCGATCATCAGCACGACGACACAATACGAGGTGCATGTATAGGCCTACATTTGAGTGTCATATGCATTTTGAATGGTCGATATCATTCACACCACTGAATTTGGACAGAAATGTTAATGGATGAAATCAGCGATAATACTCATGTCAACTTTAAAGTTGTAAAATATAAAATCACCAGGCCCGTAGCCAGCACTTACAAAAGAGGAGTTATTTTTCTGGGTCATTTACAATGAAACCTTTGTGTACCTTAATCGAATTATACCCAGAATGGATCTTTTCTGACAAAAAGGGCGGTTCTTTCTAACCCCCGAACCCCAACAACCACCCTGGCTACGGGTCTGATTGTTAATTTATCAATTTGCTTATTGATTCTAGACTAGACATATGAATTTTATGTTCTTACGACGGCCATGGTATTCCTGAACTAAAGAAATCATTGGTAATTCAAGCAACAATTTTCAAAATGTATAGAATTTACATGTTTTAGTTGGATTTTTTAACTCGATTTATATTTTGAAATGTAATGTTGTTAGAAATATTGACGATGTAATTTTCTTTTTTCTTTTTGTGAACATCTATGATATAATTGCTTGAATTTGTTCGAACAATAATAAACATTTTTTTTACAAATGTATTAAAATGCTAGCGTGAATTTTCTGCATAGTTTTCTTCAGCTTGTCTCGAACTCTTCATCTAAACTTTCCTTCTGCTTACTAGTCTGTTGGTTTACCCACTGAGCTGTCAACTCAGCTTACCCGTCTTACTTTTCTATGATCCTACTGTAGTAATTTAAAATGCTTATTTGGATTTTATTTTTGCAAAAGGTAATTTGCTGGGACCCAGTAACGCCAGGAATCGAACTCGGGACTTGCTGTTTAGGAGGCAAGCGCGTTATCCACTCCTCTAAGTGTTCCCACCCACCCTCCCCGGGTAGACTTTCTTCTTATAGCAACCAAAGGAAAATTCTGAAAAAAATTCCAGTTACAAATTATTAAGGCACTTCGGAGTACCCGAGCCGGGAATCGAACTTCAACCCTAAGGTTCTACTAAGCCAATGAAAATACGAAGACATTTTGCATATTTAGAAAGTTTTTATTAAGACCAATGCAAAGTTCCATTTACGTATTCATTCATTTTAAATAATACACCCAACGTAAATTAGAATAATTTAATCGCTAAAATTTCAAGGTTTGAGTAGGAGAAAAGATTATTGCTATCCACATTAGTACTCACTCAAAGGTGTAACAAATTCAACCTTTTTTCTGCATACAATTTTTTCAAATAAACTACCAATGCAACTTCTTATCTTAGATCTTATTAATGTTAAGTAAAATATTTCAGAAAAGACATAGGTCTTTTCAAAATTAAAAAGCTACTACCAGTAGAGTTCGAGGTTTCTTGCTGGGAAGAAAAAAGGGTAAACAACATCTGCACTGCAGTTGACATTATACCAGACATAGGTTTTGAGAAGACGGATCTTTATCTTAAAAGAAAGCGCAAGATCCTTGAAAATTGGGGATATAAAATATTATAAATCCCCTTACAAAAATGATATCGATTAAATACATACATCATATGCAAAAAGTACAGCAATCAAATCTGGGGAAAAAACGGAGGGTCAGTTCATGGAATTACTAATTTTTTCTACATTTACTTTCAATTCCAAAAATCTTGTAGCAAATGTTTTTCAACTTTGTGAACGTATATTCTTCTCAAATACGCGAAATTAAAAACAACATTTCTGCACTTGCTGGGCGAGGGAATGGAAGTTGTTGGTTAGAGAATTAGACTCTAACTGCCAACCGACAGAAGAATTTGGAAATTAGGAAATAATCAATCACATGAATAGTCCCTTCATCTTAGCACAGAACCCAGATTTGTTCAAAAACTAAATATCACAGGTATCATTTACAACGAAACTTTTCGTGTTGCTCATTTACAAACTTTTACTCCAGAAATGTACATTATTAATCTTACTGACGCTTTGCTTTTTATTCAGATTCTTATTACTATGATGGTGAACAATTTGAAATAAATACCAACCGTAAACAAAATGTATTTTCCATTTTATGCACGGTAAAACAGACAGATCTACACTTATTTTCGCTAAATAAATTTGTTCAAGTTTACGAAAGTCTCCCAAACAGACACTAAAATTTATAAACTCTTTTGAATTCACTTTTGTAACAAAATATTCGCTTGCGGACAGTAGAATGACATTTTTAAAATCAGCAAGTTTTCAAATGTCAAGAAAATTACGATCCATAAAGATATTTTTGACTTCTCAGTTCTAGGATTTAAGTCACTATAGTTCAAGTTCAAAGAGATTCAAATATTCTGTATGCTGGGTTAAACATAGAAGAAATATGCGCTCAATAATGAAAATAAAAACAGACATTTCATTTTAAAAAATCAGTAATTTAATATTCGTTTGTCAACTGATATGGATAAAGAGATTCATGGACTTCAAATTCATTACTCATAAGATCAAGATTTTGAGTTTGCGCCTATATGTATATGATTTATTAATCTAAGAAACATGATCAGAAAATTGCGCAAAAACACGAACAAAAATTCAAGACTTCTAGAACCTTTTAGTAAACTGTTGCAACTT